AGCCCAAACAGCTCTCGCTGCCCGTCTCCGGGGTCATGGAGTTGCCCCACACTCCTACTCCCTGCAGGCCCCCTCCAATCTCACTCTCAGACTCGCCTTTCACTCCCCACAACTTGCATCTGGAGCACCCAGGCCTACCTCCCTGTTCTCTGGGTCTGAACCTCACAGCCCCCACTCTCCCTTTTGGAGAGGGGTCATTTCAGCCTGTCTCAACTGTAAAACCTGCGCTGCAAGGCTCCCAGCGTGGGCCCTACCATCCTTCCCCCAGGCCACCTCTTCCATTCCTCCCCCATTTCCAAGTCAGCCGGGCCCGGTAAACACTCTGTCTGCTGTTCATCACCCTCCACGCCCCTCCTGGAACCCAGGCCCCCATCTCCCCTCCCTCCACCACATCTGCCTCTCGGGGCTGGATCCAGGGCTTCCCCCCTCCTCTCGGCCACCTTTGACCCCCAGTGATCCCTGGCAGCTGGGAGAAGTGTGGCTCCGGATCCAGACTCTAGCTTGGCTGACCTTGTGTCCCCCAACCACGTGTCAGTCTGGAGATGAGAGAGGATGGTTTGAAAGGGACACACAGACACTACCCTGGCAGCATTGCAACATCCCTCTGGCCACCTCAGCACTTCCGGTCCCTGTCAGCCCTGCTACTGCCTTCCAAGACATCTGTCTCCCTGGTGAGCCCTGCAGTCCCCAGACATGCACCCAAAGTCTGATCCCCTTCCTGTCCTGACCCAAAAGAAGAGAAAGACAAGTTGGATTTTCCAGTCTCATCCGCATCCCAGTTATTGGGGTTTCTGTTCACAGATGGGGAAACTGTGGCACAGCCAAGAGCATTCAATGGCTCAGTGAACGGTTAGCCTCCACAATGGGTGTGGGGTCCTGGCTGCAGGGAGAAGGAGAGGTCCACCCTGGGAGGGTCAGCCCCACCCCTGGAGCTCAGGGCTCAGAGATGGAGCTGAGAGCTGACACTAGAGAAGGGCTGGAGCTGGGAGCCACCGGCCTCTCCTCTCCCACACCCTCAGTGCTCAGAGGAGGGGAGCTGGGTGGAGGGATCTTAGTCCCTCCCCTTCCCAGACCTCTGGCTGTCTCTCTGCCTCCCTGCCAGTGTCAGCCTCCTCCCCACAGCACCCCTGCCAGCCTGTGTTTCCCTAAGCTCCGTCCCCAGCCCCTGTTCCACGTCTTGACCGGACTGGGGCTGCCGTGAGGTGGGACAGCCCTGTCTGCTCAGACATCGTCCTATGTGAGGATTCAGAATTCATCTCTTCAAAGAAGAGACGTGGCTGGTAACACCTGTTTCCCTGACACCTGGGGAAACCGGCTCAGAGGAGTGTCCCCAGCTCCAGGGCACACTGTGATCAGTGGAATGCTGAGCTGGGGCCTGGCCCTGGTCTCTGAGCCCACTGACCCTTTGCCTCCTCACTGGCCTCTCACTGGTGAGTCAGGTGGGAGAGAGGACCCGCCTCCACAAGGGCACCAAGGCAGGGCCAGGGAAAGCCCTCATGGTGCAGAGTGTGCAGGAGAGAAAGCAGGCACAGGGGCGAGGAGAATGCAGCCTGGCCTGGGAGACACGACAGCCAGCCTGGCCCGTCCCATGTGGTGGGAACCCAGCTCTCCTCCTCTGAGCACTGAGGGTGTGGGAGAGGAGAGGCCGGTGGCTCCCAGCTCCAGCCCTTCTCTAGTGTCAGCTCTCAGCTCCATCTCTGAGCCCTGAGTTCCAGGGGTGGGGCTGACCCTCCCACGGTGGACCTCTCCTTCTCCCTGCAGCCAGGACCCCACACCCATTGGGCTTGTCGGGATAGACAAGATGTCCACAACCCAGCTGGAGGAGGAAAGGAGGGAGACTGAGGGCAGAGGACAAGGAGGAGCAGCTCTGGGGGAAGGGACTTGCTAACCGAGAGGGAGGGAGAAAGGCAGAGGAACCAGGAACAGCAGAATGGTGGACACGACCAGCCTGGAGGAGCGAGTGTGAAGGGAAAAAGGAAACAGGCAGCGTCGGGGGCCAAAGAACCCGGAGGTGGGAGAGAGAACAGAGAGTGGTGGAAGGAAACAGAACCCAGAAAAATGAAGTCTCTTGGGGACAGCAGGACAGACATCTAGGCCAGGGGATGGAAGGAGCAGAATGAGGTAAGACGACAGGGACAATGGCGTCGGGAAAATGGCCTCACCATGACAGTGGTCTCAAGTCTTTTCAGTCAAAACCTTGTAAACAGGCATTGTGAAGCTGAGATGAGAGGGAAGAGTGTGAGCGGCTCAGCTCCATGATGCGGGGAGACACAGAGAGGAACATGCCACAGACGGGGAGAGCTGAGAACAGTGAGAGAGAGGCAAGGCCGGGAGCTCCAATGGAGAAAGGAAGCAAGAAATGAAGAGAGACCCCTAAGAGCTGGTGATAGGGACAGAAAGAAATAACAAGCAACCCCAGAAGGAACATGGTTGTCCATCTCCCCGTATGTCTCTCTGGCCCCTGCGTTGGACCATGTTTGGGATCCCCGGGACACAGGACACACAAATGCTTCGTGTCACTAGGAACAGCCAGGTGGTCTCCATTCCAGTGACCCAGCCCACAATCCTGGGCAGTGTATGCAGCTTCCCAGGTGCCCATGTAGCCATCGTAGACCAAGCCGTCCTGTCCCTCTTGCATCCTATTGTATCCATAATGAAATGTCAGCATTGTTTTGCAGGATCAATGAGCAAAAACTGCAAGTCATGTAGCTAGAGCATGCTCAGAAGATGGAACCCTTGTCCTCAGGTGACCTGGAGCCACCTAGGAAGCAAAAGTTCCATAACTGTGGAACTCAATGTGCAGAGAAAGTGGTGTGGGCAGCCTCACGAGAAGGGAGGGGTCCCTTGATTGGTAGCAATCCCGACTTCTAAGATTGCTACACTCCTGCCCTCCAATCACATTCCGCCAAGCTAGTATTCTGCATAATCATGCCCTCTCCCAACTCCATAAAGTCTGCCCCTGCTTTAGCTCTGGGAGACAGAATCGAGCCTTGCCTGCTGTCTCCTTGCTTGAAGGTATCGAGATTGCAGCAGAGAGAGGGATTAATCACAAGGCAGCCATGTGAGGAAGCCAGAGCAGGACTCTGAAATCTGCTTCCCCAAAAATGGGGACTCAGGGATATTTATGGCAGGTAAGGGTGATCTGAAAGGTGCAGATGGAGGATTGTAGGTGAAGTGAGGTGAGGTAATTGATGTTCTGCACAAGCGTCGTCAGACTCCATGCCTCTTCATAGGATGCGTGTTCACAAAATGATGGTGTGAGCATGATCTGAGGGTGGAGGTTTTACCCTCTTGACATCAAAAGGTCACCTATCGGACACCTGCATGGGTCCAGTTGATGAGCTGGTGGTCTAAACCAGCCTGAAGTGGACAAGCAGTTCTCATGCCAGAAAAGAGCTCACAGACCCATTACCATGGTGACCCAGGCTCCAGGGACACGATACCTACAGGAACCCAGTGGGAGTCAGACAGCCTTTTGCCTAAACAGCACAGTTAACAACAGGCAGGGGAACAAATAAAGCTGTGATCAGTAATTGCAAAAAGAAATAAAACTTTACTTCCTAGCTGCTTCGTCATCAATGGCTAACTGTTTTCCGGTTTCAATCCCCCTGTTCCTTGGTCATTCCCCATTCTTGAGGGATTCCAGGTGACGACCCATCTAGCTCCTTCCTGGTGAATTGGGGTGTAGGTCTGGGTTAGAGGAATGAAACTGTTAACACTCATTTGGAAATACTCTCGTGTTCCTGGCTTCAGGTTGACATTTTGCATTATTAGAATTTTGGACCTTAGGGCCGGCCCTGTGGCCGAGTGGTTAAGTTCATGCACTTCACTTTGGCGGCCCAGGGTTTCACTGGGTTCAGATCCTGGGCGCGGACATGGCACCACTCATCAGGCCATGCTGGGGCGGTGTCCCACATGCCACAACTAGAAGGACCCACAACTAAAATATACAACTATATACTGAGGGGATTTGGGGAGAAAACAGGCGAAAAAAACAAAAGAATTTTGTACCTTCCTTGACGGCTTTGGAACAACATCTAAAGGCCCGTTTTATAATCAAGTATCAGACCAGAAGGACAAGAAGGACAGACAACCCAAATTTTAAGAGTCCCTGCAAAATAGATCTAATCCCAGTGGGGCCTCCATCGGATCACCATGGGGGCAGACATCCGGTCTTAGTTCCCATAGTCTTCTGTTCCACTGGATATGCGTCAGAGACTGAAGCAATGCCCCATACCCCGATCCTATAGTGGTCATTTTTGATGGCTATCAGCACAGACTGTCTGCCTAGGGGTCATCACATTCCTAAGGAACTCAAAGGAACAAAGTTATCAACTTACAGCAGCCTGGAGGGGCCATCAAATCTAAGAGCACGTGTGCGTTACTTAATCAGAGGTCATACAAAGTTACAACGTGGTTTCTTTTCTACAATATGGCTGTCATTACATCACCCTTGCATCGATGAGGTAGCAATTTCACCTCTCTGAGCCTTAGTGCTCCCATGGCATTTATCGGGCCAGCTCCCAACATTCTCGTGAGGATGCTTTTGAGATCGTGAAGTTCTAAGTCCTCAGTGCAGAGCAGGGAGAGATGCTCCACACGTGAGTCTTTGCCTCTCTTCCCTGAAGGTGCGACCCTCACCCTGTCTCACGGCCCCCGCCCCACAGCAAAGAAGCTCTCAGAATTCTCTACAGGATTTTTATTGCAGGTGGGAGGTGGAGGGGACGTGGGATGTCCTGTGGGAAGTCTTCGACACAGAGGCTGGGGATGTGGGAAATTTCAGAGCCTTTGTCTGGGCCTCTGTCTGGGACACAGCCCTGGAAACAAGGGGTGTATCCGGCCTGAGTGGGGACATAGTGGGTAGATCCTGCTTGAGTGGAGGCGTGGCGGGTGGATCCTGGTTGGATGGGGGCGTCGCGAATGGATCCTGCTTGGTTGGACGGGCGGCAGGTGGATGCGGCTAGGATTGAAGGGTAAGAGGGGCAACCTGCTTCTGTGGACGGGAATGAGATCTATTTTAACTGGAATATTTTTGGTTGTATTTGCCGCCACTTTCCTGTAGAGAGAGACGGGGAGAGGTCACTGTGTTTTGCCCCAATCCCACCGTACCCTGACTCCCTGGTGTTTCTCTTCCCCCACGACAACAAGGAGGAGCCCAGGACTGGGTGGCCCCACTCCTGTGTTTGTTTCCCAGAGGGACCAGAGCTCCTTGAAGTCAGAAGGCTTCACGCTAGCCCGGCTCTCCAGGCCTGCCCTCTCTGCCCCCACGCCCACTCTTGCCCTCACTGTCCCCTGTCCCCTGATGATTCAAGGACACTTTCCAGCCGCCCTACCTTTGCTCATGGTATTCCCTTGTCCTCCAGTGCCACCCTCTCCTTGACTATGTGCACATCTTCCCGCCTCAGGGCCTTTGCACTCCCCGTCCACAAGGAACATTCTCCCCAAGTTCCTGGTCCCTGCTGCATTTTCCCTCATTCAGATCTCAATTGAAAGTGTCACTCTTCAGAGCAGACCCAGTCACCCTGTCTACAAGAGCTCCTCTCCGTCCCTGCTTGTTCTCAACACCCTGTTTATCGTCTTCTCAGTGCTGAGCTCCCTCTGGGCTCCTCTCCTGGAACTCCCTGGTTCATGGGCTGTTCCCTTCCCTGTCCCTCCTCTGAATGGCACCTCCCGTGAGCTGAGACTTCGTCCTGTTCCCAGATGCACCAGGTCCTGGCCGTGAGCTGATGCTCAATGAATATTTGTTCAGGAACGAATGCTTTCCTAACTCCTCAGACAGAGCCACTGTGGGCCAAACACCATGGAGCGTCCACACTGTGCCAGGCCCCATGTGGTCCTCCAGGTCCTTCCCCTCAGAAGCCCCCATGGCACAGATGGAGAAACTGCGGCTCCTGAGGTCACAGGAGGAGTGTGTCCGCCCCAGCCTGTGCCCCAGGTCTGTGCAGCCCCAGCTTGGGTCTGTCCCCACCACCTGGGGCCATCTCCACATGAGCCTGGACGGAGTCAGGAACCTGTCCCCCAAGTCTGAGCACCCAGAGAGCCAGCTGTGTGACCGCAGGGACCTTGTCATCCTCCCCAGCCTCAGTTTTCCCAATCTCCTCATCCATAAACCCCAGCCCATCGGGGTCCCGGGAAGGGGACTAACCGGGTGACTGAAGCAGAGTCCTTCTTTTTCAGCTTGTCAGGGACTCCCTGGTCCTTGTTCCCCAGGGTGTGTGCAATCTTCTTCACAGTGTCCGGGAGGGCATCCAAGATGCCGGCTGGCTCTGGGTCCGCCTGGGCCCAGGATGGTCCTGTCCAAAGGAGGGGTAGGGTGGAAAGATTTCAGTATCAGGAGGCCTCACAATGAGCTTCCCGGGATGGGAAATGAGGTCCACCAAAGGGGTTCTAAGCCATCATCCTATAGAATGCGGGGAGGGTCCTGGAGCTCACAGATGCAGCTCAAGCTGCCAGGAACTACCTTATTCTCACACAGAACACCCTCCCGCACCGCCACCCTCCCCAACCCCACCCCTGTCTCCCCTCTCCAGCCTGTGAAAGGAGGACAGCCAGTCCTGGAGAGATGAAGGTCAGTAGGTCACGGGTTGGTAGGGCTCATCTGGGCGGATCTCCCACCTGCTGGACGAAGCCATGGGGAAGCTGTGGCCCGGCTAGTGTGGTGCAGGGGATGATTTGTGGATGACAGGGACCCAGGGCACAGAAGGAGGCCCAGTGATCTCGAGGATCCTCTGAGCCTGAACCCCATGCCTGAGGCCAGCTTCACATTTCCAAATCTCTAACTCCCAGGGTCTCCTCTCCCCTTTTACCTTCACACACCATCCACAGAGCCACCAACAGGACCGGGAGTGACAGGACAAGCCTCATGGCTGGTGAGGGGTCTCTGGAGGCAGAAGCGGGGATGGGGTGATCAGTGACACCCCATGTCCCTCCCCCAATCCTTCCAGGGAAGTGAGTGAGCACCTACCTGGACCAAGGAGGACCGGTGAGATGAGGGGGTCTGGCCCGGCCTGGGCCTTTATTAGGCTGGGGAGGGGTGGGGCAGGTCTCCGCTCCTTCCCCCTGGGCCTCCCCTGGGCCTGCCTCCCTGTGTCCTCTCACCTTTCCATTTAGGCCCTGTCTGATGGAGGCGGGTCAGGTGGGGCCCAGGCACGACCCTTTGGCCCGAAGCCCCTGGCTGTCCATCGCCCGCATCTCCAAATCTCCCTGACTGTGGGGCCCTCCGCCTGCTCCAGCCGCTTCCCCCTCAGGGGACAGTCTCCACCTCCCGAGCTGATGCACACCCTGCTCACAGCCTCAGGGCCTCTCCCTCTCCCTCTGGGTAGCTCAGGGACTCAGTTCACACTGGACCCCGGCCCTCTTCCATCCCGCCCCTCTTCACAAGCCACTTCAGTCCAAACAGCTCCTGCTACCTGTGTCTGGGGTCACACTGTTGCCCCACACTCCTACTCCCTGCAGGCCCCCTCCAATATCACACTCACACTCGCCCTTCATGCCCCTCAACTTGCATCTGGAGCACCCAGGCCTCGTTCCCTGCTCTCTGGGTCTGAACTTTATGGCCTCCTCTCTCCCTTTTGGGGAGGGGTCTTTTCAACCTGTCTGAATAGCAACATCACCACTGCGAGGCTCACAGCATGGGCCCCTCCATCCATCCCCCAGACCCCTCTTCCATTCCTCCCCCATTTCCAAGTCAGCCGGGCCCGGTAAACACTCTGTCTGCTGTGCATCACCCTCCACGCCCCTCCTGGCACCCAGGCTCCCATCTCCCCTCCCTCCACCACACCTGCTTCTCAGGGATGGATGCAGGGCTTCCTCCCTCCTCTCAGCCACCTTTGACCCCCAGTGATCCCTGGCAGCTGGGAGAGGGTGGCCCCGGATCCAGACCCTAGCTTGGCTAAACTTATTTCCCCACAACCACGTGTCAGTCTGGAGATGAGAGGGGATGATTTGAAAGGGACACACAGACACTACCCTGGCAGCATTGCAACACCCCTCTGGCCACCTCAGCACTTCCGGTCCCTGTAGCCCCCCTGCTGCCTTCCCAGACATCCGCCTCCCTGGTGGATCCAGCATTCCCCAGACATGCACCCCAAAACTGCTCCCCTCCCTACCCTGACTGAAAAGAAGAGAAATGCAAGCTGGCTTTTCCAGTCTCAACCTCATCCCACCTATATGGGTTTCTGTTCACAGATGGGGAAACCGAGGCACAGTCAAAATTATTCAATGGCTCATTGAGTGGTTAGATGGCTGTGGATAGTCCCTCCCCTTCCCAGACCTCAGGCTGTCTCTCTGCACGCCTGCTGGGGTCAGCCTCCTCCACACAGCACCCCTGACAGCCTGTGTTTCCCGAAGCTCCTTCCTCAGCCCCTGTTCCACAGCTTGACCTGACTGGTGCTGCCGTGAGGTGGGACAGCCCTGTCTGCTCAGACATCGTCCTACCTGAGGATTCAGAATTGTCTCTTCAAACAAGAGACGTGGCTGGTGACACCTCTTTCCCTGACACCTGGGGAAACAGGCTCAGAAGAGTGTCCCCAGCTCCAGGGCACACTGTGATCAGTGGAATGCTGAGCTGGGGCCAGGCCCTGGTCTCTGAGCCCACTGACCCTTTCCCTGCTCACTGGGCTCTGGGTGAGTAACGTGGGAGAGAGGACCCGCCTCCACAGAGGCACCCAAGGCAGGGCCAGGGAAAGCGCTCGTGGTGCAGAGTGTGCAGGAGAGAAAGCAGGCACAGGGGCGGGGAGAATGAAGCCTGGCTTGGGAGACACGAGCGCCAACATGGCCCGTCCCCTGCGGTGGGAACCCTGCTCCCCTCCTCTGAGCACTGAGGCTGTGGGAGAGGAGAGGCTGGTGGCTCCCAGCTCCAGCCCTGGCTTCTCTAGTGTCAGCTCTCAGCTCCATCTCTGAGCCCTGAGTTCCAGGGGTGGGGCTGATCCTCTCAGGGTGGGCCTCTCCTTCTCCCTGCAGCCTGGACTCTGTATCCACTGGGCTTGTCGGTATAGACAAGAGGTCCACAACCCAGCTGGAGGAGGGAAGGAGGGAAACTGAGGGCAGAGGACAGGAAGGACCTGCTCAGAGGGAAGGGACTTGCTAACCGAGAGGGAGGGAGAAAGGCAGAGGAACCAGGAACAGCAGAATGGTGGACAAGACGAGCCTGGAGGAGGGAGCGTGAAGGGAAAAAAGAAACAGGCAGGGTCGGGGGGCCAGAGAACCAGCAGGTGGGAGAGAGGACAAAGAGTGGTGGAAGGAAACAGAACCGGGGAAAATGAAGTCTCTTGGGGACAGAAGGTCAGCAGACAGAAGGAGCAGAATCAGGTAAGACGACAGGGACAATGGCATCGGGAAAGTGGCCTCACCGTGACAGTGGTTTCAGGTCTTTTGAGTCACAACCACCTTCTAAACAGGTATTGTGAAGCTGAGATGGGAGGGAAGAGTGTGAGCGGCTGAGCTCCATGATGGAGGGAGACACAGAGAGGAAGATGGCAGAGACGGGGTGTCCCAGTCATTCTCAGAAGGTGAGAAAGGAAACAGTGTGCCTGGTGAGCAGATGCTCCAATTTGCCGACAGTCACCAAGAATGAAGGGGCCCGCGGCTTTCTCTAGACTCCACCAGCATCACTGACATTTCCCACAAGGAACCCTGGGTGACAACTGCTGTGGGAAAAAGACTTGTAGACTTTCTAATTGACACCGGAGCTACTTATGTTGTTCAACCCCAGGCAGGCCACCCCCTCCCTCAAGACCACGTCCATTCCTGGTGAATACGGGGAAATGTCTCGTACACCTTTCCTACAATCACTCAAGTGTCACATAAGGAAAAGATACCTAAAGCACAGCTGTCTGTATTGCCCGAGTGCCCTACTCCGTTGTGGGGGTGAGATCCACTAACCAAACGAAATGCCCAAGTGACTTTTGGACCAGAGAAAGTAGACATTAATGTGCCCCCAGATCACTCCTCTGCCCTTCAAATCGCCATGTTGCAACTGGGATACGAGCCTCGATCAGGAGTCCCTGGAAAACTTCTAGAAAGACAAGTGCAGGTGTTTGGGCCGCAGGGAGGTGTGGAGGAGCCAAGAAGGCTGAGCAATGGTGGTAAAGCTCTGCCCAGACGCCAGGGCTCCAAATTTAAGGTAATCCCCTTTACAGGGAGATGCGAAAGAGGGTATAAAGCCTCTGACAGCCACCTTTCTCAAATGACAATTAATCTGGCTGTGTCGATCCCCATATAACACTCCGGTCCTACCAATGCAAACACCCGGGACTGCAGACAACCATTTTGTACAGAATTTGAGAGCCAGTAACCAAATAGTAGAGGATACATATCAGGGGATGCCGAATCCTTATGCTCTGCATAGAACTCTATCTGGAGGCTTCTGTTGGTTTATAGTTCTGGACGTCAAGGATGCCTTTCACTGCATGCCCCTATGCCCTTTGTCTCAGGAGCTGTTCCTCTTTGAATGGGACGATCCAGAGACGAATGTAAAACAACGATATTGCTGGATGGTCCTCCCGCAAGGATTCCACAATGCCCCCACCGTGAAGCCCCAGCCAAGGACGTAAGGCATCTCCAGTTACGTGAAGGAGTCTTACTCCAATACAGGGATGACATACTGATTGCCGGTAAAACTAAGGAAGCTTCATTCCCAACTACAATCCTTACTTTAAACTTTCTAGCAGAATGGGGATATAAAGTCTCCGAGGGGAAGACAAATTTCTCGACCAGCTCTAAGAAACTCAGGATTTGAGTCATCGAAAGGACAGAGAAACTTCTTACTGGACCTAAGGGAGGCACTAGCTGGGTTGTTGTCCCCAACAGCAGGAGACGGCTGCAAGGATTTTAGGATTGGCTGGCTTCTGTCACATTTGGATCCCTAATTTAGGGCTTATGGCCAAACAGTATGAGACTCTTAAAGGAAGTGACTATGAACCAATAAACTGGACTGCAGAACGCCATAAGGCATTTTATATCGTCAAGGAGAACCTTCTAATGGCTCCAGCACTTGGTCTCCCGGACATTAAGAAACCATTTTCTCTTGTGTGTGAAAGACCAGGAATGAGTGTTGGAGTGCTAACTGAGGATTTAGGTGCTGCCGGAAGGCAGTAGCTTGTTTTTCAAAACAACAGGACATTATAAGTCAAGATGGCCAGTGTGACTCTGGGCTGTGGCTGCAACCTGGGACCTTCTGAAAGAGGCTGAAACATTTACACTGGGTCAGCCTCCTACTGTGCACCCTCCACATCGTGTGCTACTTCTGCTTGAAAAAAAGGTGGATATTGGCCTCTTGGAAGGCAAGA